GGAAGCCTCGGCCTCGCAGGGAGCAGCCGGCGGGGCGGTCCGGACAGTGAGGTCCTCTGACTCCCCCCGGGCAGGGCGGGGCCCGTCCAGGTGCTGGGCAGGTGTCCTTCCTGGGGCCTTGTTGGCCTCCTGGGTGGCCAGCCCACCCGCCCTGAGGCCCGAGGCGGCCCTCAGGACTCAGGACTAACCCAGTGGGGGGTCCCGGCTGCCCACGCAAGGCAGGACCCCTGAGGACACGCCCTCTCTGGAAGCCCTGCCTGGCTGCTGGGCTGGGCTGGGCTGCAGCTGGGCCGTCCTGCCGGCTCCGCCTTGGACTCACCCCGTGGGCCTGGGGCTCTCCCAGAGTCCCTCCCTGGTTCCCGGCCCAGTTCTGGCTCCTGAGCCCCTGCTTTCCCATAAGCAGGACGGGTCTGTGTCCGTCCGTGCACACATCCCTTTGCTCCCCGGTCCGCCACTGAGCGTGGCCGGGGATGCCAGGGTCCCAGAGCAGAGTCCAAAGTGAAGTCTTCCTTTCAGAGCCCAGGCCGGACAGGGACAGGATGAAGGACAAACTGGCCCTCGCCCCCGTCCCACCCTCAATCCCTGAGGCTGGGAGAGCAGCGGGGTGTGGAACCGGGCCTGGAATGGGGGTGGTCAGGGAGGCCTTCCTGGAGGAATTGGCATCTAGGCTGGGCCTAGGAGAAAAGGGCAGGACAGGGAGGCTGGGAGGCAGGAGGCAGAGATGCTTCAGTCCTGAGGACGGAGGTGAGTGAGGATCTGGGGTGAACTGAAAGGATAGAGAGCATGGAGTTTGGGGGGCTGGGCAGGAGGACAGTGCAGCCTGAAGCACTGCCCCACAGCTGACAAGGATCCAGAAGGTTCCAGAAGGACAGGAGGGGAAGCTTGCACTTGAGTCTCAGGCTTTGCAGCATTTGGCAGGAACTCTCACTGCCCCCTCTCCCCCGGCCAGCACAGCCCATTCCTCCGGGCAGAGGGCTGCGTGCCAGCTGGCTTTCCCGGCACCGGCTGCTGCCTGGAGCGCTCATTTTTCAGTAGAAAAGTCTCTCAAATAAGAGTCCGGGGCTGTGGGGGGCGGGGGAGCGAGGGCTGGGCACCGGGGACCCCGAGGCTGCTCCTGCCCCCCCCCCCCCCCCCCC